TTAGTTTTGATGCAAAAACGCATGATCGCACCGGCTCGCCTGGTGCGTTCCAGCCTTTGTTATGTAGATTACAAGAGACACAGAAATGGTGATTTCTGTGCGTTTTTACGTCGCAGCAGTATTGTGTTACGACAATGAGCCAAAGTGCATATTGTCGTGTGTGTTTGTTGTGCATGTGTGTGTATGTGTGTGTGTGTGTGTGTGTGTACGTATGAGTATGTATGGTAATTGGATGAACTTTTTCACCTTCCGTCAACTTGAGAATCAGAAAAATTAAAAAACTGAATCTTTGTCATGTTCCCGGACCTGTTTTGAAATCGATATTCGTGCATTTTGGGTTTGATGCACGGAGAAAAACTAAATTATTTAGCGAGGAGACGAATTCGAAAACTAGACGGTATAGAAGACCGTGTGTGCTGCTGTACCGTCCCACAATGGCAATGCTACGGAACGGGAATGGATGTCGGATAATAAAGCCGAAAGTATGAGAAAAAGCTGAAGGATGAGCGTCAGCTGTGACAAAGAGAGAGTTGGAGCGAAGGATGTTTGGCGCGTTTTTCTACAACTATATACTTCATTGAGACCACGCGAGAAATTAAGTCCCGACAACCATGGCATGCTGACCGCTTTGGTCCGGTGGACGACGCGCGTTAGTGAGTGGTATCCATAAGAAAGTAAACGGCCGCTGAGGCGTCACTTGAAGAGGTGTCGTACATATATTGAATAGGCGCTGGACAGAACTGGAGGTATACAGCCTAAAATCAAAGCGTCTGGCATAATTATGCTTGGAGTATGAGAGCATTCCATTGGCATGACTTACAAAAGACACCCACAGTAATAGCCCAACCAGTCTTGATTTAGGTGTTGTTTACTCCTCCTAACAATATATCATCAGCCTTTATTTGGAAGTTTAATCATAGGTCAAGGAGCTGTGCTCAAACCAACTGTTTTGCCTGGCAAAATCCTTACAAATTCGGGATTTCTAACATGCTGCCTTCTAAACTTGCAAAATTTGTCGAAAATGAACATCAGTTTGCAGACCATGACGCAGGGCCTGAACATAAACAGATCACACTATTTAGCGACTTACTGCAAAATTTCGGGTCTGCGGCTTTGTAGAATTACCGTTATAAAATCAGCCCGTTAGGCCTGAAATTACACGTTAGTGATCTGTGAATTTATGAACCTTATGAAGCGTTTTTGCGTATATGCAAATGCGAAAACGCATACTGTGACGACTCCGGTGCGCGTGTGCGTATATTTATGTTGTTTGTCCGTGTCTGTCCAGGTATTTCAACTCGGCAACCATGCAAGCTCCGGCGCCAAGGTTTTATCACTAGATTCCCTTTCCAAGTGCCATCCCAGGGCTGCGGTACCAACCTTCACGCGTGTCTGGGCCGAGCGCACGAGCACGTGAAAGTTTTAACGGTGGGAAAACTGCCAACTCGGGAATCAGGAAAGCTGAAAGGCTGAAATTTTAAGAGGACATTCCCTACCCAAATACAACTTAAGGGTATCAAATTCAGCACCCAGGTGTGCGTGACCTTGACGTACGGACTAGTTAAAGTTTTTGGCTGGAAAATTGCTAGCTTGAGAACCAGGAAAGCTGGAAGGCTAAGATTTCAACATAATATTCTCCGTCCAAGTATTACGTAATTGCACAATTAACTTCCCACACTCGAGGACCTCTATGTCACAAATTTTAGCTACTGTGTTTCCGAGTGCAGCACGAAAAAGAACCTGTGGACTTACTACACCACAAGACACTGCAAAAACGCATGAATGCACGGACCTGCCTAGTGCGTATCGTCGATGACTTTTTTGTACAATTAAGTGAGGTGGTTAAAAAGACACTAATGGACATAAAAATTCCTAATTTGATTTTATGTACAAGCCCAACACATTGTATTATTGGGATGAAAGTTTCAAAATGAGGTAATGTGAGTCTTACTACAGGTTGCATTTCAGATGCGTGAGAACTCACGAATCAACATCTATCTCTTGGGTGACGCACTGGTCGATTATGAGATAGAACAAGCATCCTCATCCACTGTCAGCTATTTCATCGCCGGAGCTCTCTTGATGACTGGTATCGTGTATCGCATTATTTGGCAATATGAGCAGGTACGACCCTTATTTTTAACAGAAGCAAGGTCCTAGCTTCTGCCTGTGCTCGCAAAATCCAATCAAAACATGAATTTGCTAATTTTTCGTCCCGAACCGGGTAAAAAGGATTAATTGCGCTCTAAATTCGTTCCTGTCTTCTGCTTTGTAAGTTTTCGGGTCTTGCGACAAGTTTTGCATTCTCCAACAAAATCATTTCTTCACAAACAGCTGCAAGGTATATCGCTTATTTTGTGACATGAGTGGCTGCTCTGT